CCCCCGGCCTGCAGTATCTCTCCGACTCGGACCCGGAGAAGCGGCGGGGGTCGTACATGACCGGGTCCATGTTCTCTGGGGTGCGTATTCGCCTTGCCTCGTCGGTATTGCACACAGGCTGACACGGCCGCGCGCAGGGCGAGAAGACGATCGGAGAGCGTCTGAAGCTGACGGTCGATAATGCGGACAAGGAGCTCAAAAAGGCGAAGAAACGATGTGCGTGCGCCCCGCGGAGCTGTGGTCGTGGTGCTGCGTCTGACTAGCGTTCCAGGGACAATGACGTGGTACGCGATGAACGTCTGTATCGCGCTCCAGATCGTGCTCGGCGCCGTCACGACCGGAGTCTCGGCCGCCTCGACTGGACGGCAGGTGAGCGCACCCCGCCCGCTCTCGCGCCCGTGCGCATACTGACCGCCCGCCAGGCGTCGATCGGCACGGCCGTCCTCGGGGGGCTCTCGACGCTCTCCGCCTCGTACCTCGCCCGCGCACGAGGCAGCGGCGAGCCCGAGGCGAGCGCCGTGCGCTGCAGCGAGTTGGAGCATTTTATCCGCGACTGCAAGGCATTCTTGCTCGACCGCGGGCACCTCGTCGGGTCGGAGTACGACAACGAGGTGAGGCAGTACCGCCGACGGTTCGAGGAGATCCTCGGGAACGGCGAGGGCGTGGGCGGGTGGATCCCTGCCGGGATGGGCGCCGCGGTCGGGGATGCGATGAGAGCGCGCATGGGCGGCGTGATGGGCAAGGTGGACGAGAAGGTGCACGACGTGGAGGAGGTTGAGGACGACTTTCGGCGGAGGGTGGGCGACGACGTGCGGGCGGTGAGGGAGACGGGCGAGGAGTTGCGCGCGAGGGGCGAAGACGTGCGCGCGCGCGGGGAGGCAATTGGACAGCAGGTGCAGGAGATACAAGGGATGGGCAGGGAGATGCGGAACAGGGCGTTGGCGCCGCTGTGACCGCCAAGAGTGGGCGCGGACTCGGTATCGTTATTATTTCACGCATGCGCACCAGGAAGTAACATATTGTACTCTAATGCGGCTCGACTGCAGTATGGCCGTTGCATCGCTCACCCATGGAACGATTGAGCACGTTTGTATTTCGTTTCGTCGTCATTTTCTGTATCTCGTGTGTAATCGTGTACGGGTCCCTCGTTTAGATGAAAATACGCAATGGAGGGGAGCCGAATTGCACGCTGATTGCGGGGCACAGGCAGGGTCCATATCGAAGTCGCCGCGGGGATGGTCGTCCACGTTCTCAGCTCGGCTCTCGGGTGCAAGAAGACGAATAGCAAAGTGACGGCAGTGACGACGTCGAGATGAACGTTTGGGAGTCGAACGTCGGCCTTGGGCGCTCTCAGCTCATCGTCCAGAGGCGCTGGTCACGTGGCCAGGCGCGCGCAATCCCGACGCAAAGTCGTCCCCCCTTCACTCAGCAGCAGCGTCGGTTCATCGCATCCGTCTGTGTCAGCCCCGAGCTTTCAATTTCTGGTGTCGTGCTCCTCCAGACTCTCTCCACATATGAATGTCTGACCGCCCGCGATTCACAACGTATCGCAACATTGTCCTCCCTCGCCTGTTCGCCGTCTTCATCGTTAGCTATCCAGGAGCAAGTGCAGATCATGTGTCGGGCACGAGGCGCGCTTGTGGAGAATGTGGGTCTCGGTTTGTAAATGTGGACGTGGGACCGCCCGCCGTTGCTCCCGCCTCCCACTCTGCACGTCGCATCGACCCTCTGCCCGCCCCGAGCACGCCCTCCTCACAGGGCACACATTCGGCCTCAACCTTTTGTCCAGCCTTGTGAGACTGAGGCGCCACCACATGGGAATCACCTAGCTATCGCCTTTTGTTTTGTTTACATCACGTCAAAGGAGTTCATCTCGACGTCACTGGCCCATGCCACCGACCACCCAGAACCGCGCTGCGACATCCATGCGCCAATGCTATTTCCGTCACACCCGAGCGGATGAGACCGCGGTGTCCCTCATCATCGCTGTCCGTGGGTTCTGTTCGGAGGGGGGGCGATCCGAGCCGAGGACGGGAACCCGCGGAAAACCACACTGTGACAGGTGAGGTTGGCCTTGAGAGCTTGAATCTGATCTTGAGAGCTAGATCCTTTGGCGACACGGGCGGCCCCTGACAATCTCCACCCGTACAGCGCGCGCGCGTCGGCACCCAGACGCGTTCGCCCGCCTGCCCTGGCACAACTTTGTTCTCAACACTGAGTAACAGCGTCCACGCGCATGCCCCCCGAGTTCCCCGTGATCATTGTTCTGTGGTTCACGAATTTCAATCACTGCCGAGGCCCCACCCCGACGGAAACAAAACAGCTTCCGCGGCTTAGCCCCGATCAAGCCTAGTGTGCTTTCGAGTTTGTGCCGTGCGTCTACTTACCAAGACAAGACAGATATGATCACGCCCTCCTAGCGTTATTGGGCAAGTCGCGCCGCATACTCAGCCAGGGGTCCCCGTGTTCCTCAACCGCTATGCGTATTCCCCGGTGCTCACCTGACCCTATAGATCCAGCGTGTACTCTCGATATCTTCCCTCGGTCACACACTAAGCGCACAATCTCTCATCTGCTGATTTCACTTCCCGGCAAACGAACGTCGCCGACTTACTAGTAGGAGACGAGAGTCAGACGACCCTCTTTTCCTTTTCTCGCTCTGCCCCTCACGCACGGCACGCCGGCACAACACTCAGCACTCAATATCCGACACTAGACTGGGGTTACGATGCGTGTCTGCTGCATTCTACGATTTCCTAGCGCTCGTTTCCCCTCGCCACCGCCGCCGCCACCTTCAGCAATCCGCCACCGGCACAAGGCCAGGCGACCGATCCTGATGCGCACCGCGTGCTTTTCAGGCACAGTCAGTCTGGCGTCTGCACGTGGGACAACTGGCGATGGCGGCCCCGCCTTTTAGCCAGCGCCTGTGGCTGAGTCCGAGCTAGGAGGCGCATCGCAGTCGCTTCCTGGTAGTCTCCTGTGAGCAGAATAGACATCCCCTTCCACCTTCGATTTTGTAGGCTTCAGAACTCTCCTCTCGCCAGATGTACATGCGACAGCGTCCGCGGCCTAGCCCCGGTCAAGCCTAGTGCGCCATCGCGTTTCTGATGTACGTCGCACGTACTGGTGTGGGTGATCGGGCCCTGCTACCTGGCGGCGAACCCTCAGCTCAAGCTCCCCAGGCTCTCCATGTTTCTCTACGACAGCGGTGTGGCTTAATCGCATCGGTTAAATGCGTACTTCGAGCGATCCGCTGCGAGCGCTCATTTGCCCCTCTCTTGTTCCTTCTTTAAGGAAAGCACCAACCGACTCAGAAGCTCAAGAGGTGGATGTCGGTCGACGCCTCATTCTCCATTCTCCGCTTTTCTCGCTCCCCTTCCCACCCTCATCCTGATCCCGCCTGGTGGAGACACCATGCGGGACACCCGACGCTGTCGCGATCGAGCCGTGCAACACGCAGGCGACCGGGCCACCCTCAGCACTCAGTGTCGGACATTGGACGGTTGTAGACAGGGCTAGGTCGTGGACAACAGCCACTTGTCCGCCGTCGACTCCTCGCCATCGCCGCCAGTGCGAGGGTGGCGCGCAAGGCGATCGGGGCCACGGTGATGGGCACAGGCGCATCAGAAGATGGGCGACTGATCGTGATGCGTGCCGCACGCCTTTCAGGCATGGCCAACCCGGTGGCAGATGCCTGCACCCAGCGGGCCACCCTTGAGCCGTCGCTGAGCTCCAGCTGGGAGTATGCGTTCCACCTCCTTAAGTGGAGCCTACTCTAGTCGTTCCTGTTGTCGTCTCGGAAGCGCATCCCGGGATACTACGGACTTGGGAATCTGCCTCGTATCGCCCCGCGTCCGCTCCAGCTTGGTGGGCGGAAGGGTTGTCTACGTTGGCGTGAATACGTTGTTCGTGTCCAGACAAGGATGCTGAAATTCAACTCAAGGCGCGCGGGGAATAGTGTTCATTTATGATTTGCGTTCCACCCCGTTATAGCTGGTCTTACAGGAGCCCATCTCACTATAACATGCACCCGACATATCGATGACACCGTCCACATTCAGCTCGCGCAGTGTACACTGTGTCGGAGTCGTAAGGCTACATACGCCGCCCTGCTGCGCAAGACATGAAGCGAATCTGCCCCGTCCGCAAGATTGCTTAATTTCGATCTTGGGCTCCAATCCTCGTCTGGGGAGCGGCCGTCGCGGTCGGGCACATTTGGACAGTGGGGGATCGGTCACGGCAGCCGGGTAGGCGGGCAATTATATCACGAGAGCGGAGAGCGTGGAGGACGAGCGACTGTTGGTCAGGGTGCGCAGTGAGTCGCAGTAATAAGATACGCACCATTTGCAAAACCCACTTATCGTATCTTCTCGTACTCGATTGGAGGGCATTGCAATGTGAATCAGAAAGGCCCATCGGCTAGCCGTTCTTAATGCTCACAGCCTGACCATGTTTGAGAATAAAGGCAAAGGCTTTTTTGGTCGCGGCCGCGCCGTTCTTGTGCGATGAGCAAATTGGATTTCTCGAACACATACTAGACGTCGCGTGTACAAGAACGAGAAAGCTCTCAAAGTGTAGATGCTATGTGGTGACAGGCGATCAGCAAGTTGCAGGATGGCCCTATAGTGTTTTTAGGTGAAGATGCAACAAGGCATAGCAAGTCGAGAGCGAGTCGAGAGACAGACTTGAAGATCACGCGAGATGAGCTAACATAGTGACTCCGGGTGTACGGCGCGATTAGCGTCTCCTCGATCTCTTCAAGCTCCCTGCGATAGCGAAATTAATTCCCATGTGCGTGGCGCTGAAGGAAAATTTGCTCCTAGGTATATCTATGGGATTCCTCAGTTGCGTTGGAGACGTGTCTAGCACGCATGACTGGCGTGGGAGGTGAGATGCTTCCGGTTCTGAGTCGAGGATGGGCTGTGTGTGCTGGCAACTTCCAGCAGTATCAGCACGAGACCATGCGAACGAGTAGCCTGAGACTCTGCGAAGCTTTGGGTATCTGCCATTTTTCGATGGGCTTATCACTGATACGAACGCGGTGATGAATGTTGGACGCGTTGTCAGAGCACAGCCTGGCGCACGAGCATCTCGTCTTGGACCCTTGGCTTGAGGGGTTCAATTTGGATGGTGCACGGATCCGAAAACAACCTATGCTGCTAGTGATGACGGGTTCATAAACGATCTGCTATCGTACTGGTTTCATGAGATATGGAATCACAATCTCGTGAGTGGGCTGTAGTATGCATCTCATGCCCACCCTGACGGTGGCGTAGTGCCTGTCTGTTCAGGAACATCGTCGCTTCTTCACTCGATCCGATTGCGGAGGTGCCACTGTAGACCGCTGCCTACTAGGCGTAGGTGGGCAGATCTGCCTGGTCAAAACCGAATTAAAATGACTTCGGGCGTGTTTGGAGTTTCAAAGCAAAGAATGGGTGTTGTGTATCCATGTCAAGTTCCTGCATCTCTGACTACAGAATACATCTATTCTCAGCTTGTTCCTGTGCATCATCTCTATGTCTGTGAGGTGTTCCCTCAGTTGAAATCAGATGGAGGCTACCTGTCACATATCAACACAGCCTTCTCTGTTTGCTACGCCATTTGAACATTGCCGCTCATCGTCATCCCTCCACTGTAATTCTGGTATGTCTGGTCATCCAGGGATCAATGTCTGCCATGATGCTTGAGCAGTGCTACTATAAGTACAGCCTTATCTGATTTGTGTGTTCTGTCAAAAGTGATCCAGAATCTCTTGATGTTTGGCTTGTCAATCATTGATATATTGAGACTGTATGCTATTCACTCACAATGATCTGCTGAGTCTATGAGTGACTTAACTACACAATTGATGGTGAATATATTAATTAGTTCGCATTAAGTATCTATACTGTTTGTCTGCCTAATGCACCTTGTTGAGATATTACAACAACACTTAATGATATACACTTGCTCT